ACATAACCTGCAGGACGTGCCGGAAACATGCGTCATGGCTTCGCAGGAACCACATGACCCATGAGCCAGACTTTTCGAGGATGCACAATAGTCTGCGCTGGGATTTGCAGAATAGATGGAGGCAGCTACAGGGGTTGCCCGGCAAGGCGAAAGCTCAAAAAAAAATTTCGTGATGCACGCCGCCGCTCTACACCTGGCGCCACACTGTGTGGCAGATTACGTTAGTCCGAATTGTCTTACCAGTTCGTTTTTTTTACACCTGGTGCCACATCTTGTGGCAGACTACGCTAGTCCGCATTGTTCGAAGCTTCATTCAGTGTGCACAGTTTTTCTCTATGTGGTGACGACCACACTATTAAGACTTTATATTGATAAGATAGCGCTATTTGAGTTTTGTCGCATAGCGATCGGACTCGCGCTGCTGTTTGCTTTGAGAATTTATTTGTTTCTCGCCGGTGCGTGTAGCAGCACCCGTTAAATGCCCAGAGGCAGCCGGATAGCATGCCGACAAGGCCGTTTGCCTGTGTTTGTTTTGGATCGCCCTGATTAATGAACTTAGCTGCGATCGGTGATCGTCGCTCGACGGCGCCGCGAGCGTCGATCAGGAGGGGTGTGATTCCCGCTCACTCCCCGTGCCCTTCTGCTCCTTCCCTGCTCCCCCGCTCTATCCCTCATGCCCGCCTTGTCGCTGCCATTTTGTTTCGAACTAGGGCCCTTGGCCTTAGAGCTACGCAGATAGATTGAGCAGCGCTCTCTTTCGCCAAAAGATCGTCGCGCCGCGCGCGCCATCCATATCACAGAGGGGAGGGGGAGGGGGAGGGGGAGGACAACACCTACGAGCACAAACACTACTGCAGAAGGTCCACATCCTGGGTTATACAAGAGACTACATCACGAAACAACTACAGCAACGCCGACACCTGCATGCAGTTCACTACACCACAACACCCATCCAAACTAGGATGCAGCCTACTAGTCAACACAACAATACCTTACGCCACCACACCCAAAATATAGTTCTACTTCAAATACAAACACTTCAGAATATTAAACTCCTCCCACAGACTGCCCATCATCAAACTACGAGCACCACTCTCCTTGCCGTCGCTCTGACGTCCATTCCCCGCGCATGTTTCGGCATCGTACGCTTCCTGTTCGCAGGATGACCCAAGATGCTCCTCGATGGCCCCTGCCGAGAAGATGCACGCGTCCGAGCGATGCCGGGTCTCGAGAGGTGGTGGGGGCGATGGGAGGAGGAGGAGGAGGAGGAGGAGGAGGAGGAGGAGGAGGAGGAGGAGGAGGAGGAGAGGAGGAAGGGGGGGGGGGGAGGAAGAGGAGCAGGAGGAGGAGGAGGAGGAGGAGGAGGAGGAGGAGGAGGACCTCGTGACACGTCGGTGCGGCCGCGCGCCACCGACGTGCTGCCCCACGACGGGCTGGCCTTACGGGACGGGCTGCCCGGCTGGCCGGCCGTGCGGGACGGGCTGCCCGACCGGCTGGCCGTGCGGGTTGGGCGGCTGGCCGTCCCCGGGGCGCTGGCCGCCCGTGGTCTGCATCTGCTGCTGCTTCCTGCGTGCAGGGCCTCCACCCGCACCGGCAGGCAGGCGTACTTTTTTTGGTCGCGGGCAGACGCGTGAAGCTGTCGCCGAGAGGGGGGTCCGGGGCACGGGCCAGCCCAATTAGCTACTGAGCGACGCGCAAGACGGCCGGGCCAGCCGCAACAGCCGTACGCGCCGCGTCAGAGAAGCACGCCGCCAAGGGCGAGAAATGCAACGATGCTGCTGAAGACTTCCATGGCGGCGCTCAGGTCATCCACCGTCTCTTGCAGTTCGTGGTCCAGCCAGTAGAAGCCGCCGACCTCGGCGTCGCCGACGGTGAAAAAGCACCACCAACTGCTATCGTAGTCTGGCTCTTTCTCAGTCGCCACGTCGCCGCTTTTGCGAATGTCCTTCACCCACACGCAGTCCCCGGGTGAAGTTGGGAGAAGACTGCCACTCGTCGCCGTCGGTGGATAAACAACGAACCAAATGGCCTCGCCTACGGTTCCAGAGTCGACGACCTCGCAGGGGCTCTCGCACTTGTAGCCGCCGGACTCGAAATCCTAGCAAGTGCAGAGGAAGCCTTCGCCATTCCAGCCCGAGTCCATGTCATTGGCGTACCACTCGAGGCTTTCGGTGCGTCTGCACGTCCCATCATTATCGAATTGCAGGGTCTGCATGCTCGGCCAAACGTTGACGTCGCACCTGGCCTCGACGGCTCCTTCATGCTCCGTCTATGCCTATGCGCATAACCGAACCCTCGAAGCTGTTGATGAATTCCGTGAATGCGCTGATGACAGGGAGGGCGCGTATACCCCTCACGGCGGCGCATGATCCGCAGTCGATTCAACTGGACACGTTGCACGGCATCTCTCCCCGACGTGGGGCCGTTGCACGGCATCTCTCCCCGCACCTCAGGTGGTGAGGCTTACAAGGCGGCCGCTTGAGACAGAAGGTCCTGCCGCCCAAATCCCTCAGAGGCCTGAGGCACACTGGGAGATCCCCACGCGCATCGGAGGACGACGACGCCGAGGACACGAGCACCAAAGGGGAGAACAGGCGACGCGCCGACGAGGGAGAGGGCACCCGGGGTTACCAAGCCGACCCTGACCCCAAATCCGCCCTACTTTGGCTTTTTTCTAACGTAAAATTGCGTCGGAAATTCACCTATAAGAAGCCAAAAAAGTCGGGCGGAAATTTCTGCACCCAACATAAGATAGGGCGGAAATCCATGGAAGTAGGGAGGAGACAGCCACAGAAAAGAAGGGCGGAAATTGGCATCAGCGGGGCTTGAAAAGTAAGGCGGAAATTCCAAGCCCTACTTACGAATTTCCCCAAAGTGGGGCGGATCCGGAGTCAGGGGAGGCGGCGACACGCGCTGGGCTCTCGCGCCCGCGCGCTGGCAGCCCTGCCTGCGCTCCGCGGGGCGCAGGGACGTGGCGCCCGGCAGCACGCGCGCGAGGAGCGCCCCGGCGGGGCTCCGCCTCGCCCCGTCGGCGCCACCGCGCCGCGCGTCGGGGGGGGGGGGGCCCTCCGCGCAGAGCGGCTGCCCGCGACGGGGCGGCCAGGGCCTCGGGCCGTCGGGGGGGGAGGAGGAGGAGGAGCAGCAGGAGGAGGAGGAGGAGGAGGAGGAGGGAAAAGCAAGAGCAGGAGAAGGAGGAGGAGGAGGAGGAGGAGGAGGAGGAGGAGGAGGAGGAGGAGAGGAGGGAGGAGGGAGGAGGGAGGAGGGAGAGGGAGGAGGGAGAGGGAGGAGGAGGAGGAGGAGAGGAGGAGGAGGAGGAGGAGGAGGAGGAGGAGGCGGAGGAGGAGGAGGAGGAGGAGGAGGAGGAGGAGGAGGAGGAGGAGGAGGAGGGAGGAGGAGGAGGAGGAGGAGGAGGAGGAGGAGGAGGAGGAGGAGGAGGAGGAGGAGGAGGGGGGGGGGGCGCCCCGCGGGCGCCTGCTCTGGCCCTCGTCGCTCGCGAGGGCCTCGCCTCCACCGAGAGATTCCGGGCGCTGCAGCACTCTCGCAGCGGGCCGTCTTGGCCCAGCTTCGAGCCGGGGGCCAACAGGCCCGAGCCGCCCCGTCGTCTGGGGTCTGGGGCCTCCTCCCCATCCCCCCCTCCTCCTCTTCCTCCTCCTCCTCTCCCTCCTCCTCCTCCTCCTCCTCCTCCCGCCTCTCCTCCTCCTCCTCCTCCCCTCTCGCCTCCGCCTCGCCTCCTCCTCCCTCCTCATTCCTCCCCCCCCTCCTCCGCCTCCTGCTCCGCCTCCTCCTCCCCCGCCTCCTCCTCCTCCGCCCCGAAACTGCGCAGAAAGATGGGGTCTGGGGCTCCGGTCGTGATTTCCTGCGATGTGGCATGATGTGTTACAACGTCGGATCTCAGGGACTCTTCGGGTGCTGCAGCTTCATGAGCTCATCAGTGGCCGCTGAGCACGCGACTCCACGACCAAGGTAATTGTGCCTGCCACAGGTCGCACCACTACGATGATAATAAGGTGCGCGATGCAAAACACAAGGATCACGCCTGGAAACAGAACCGCTCCGCTTTCAAGTAGAATCGAGGACGCGACTCCTCTCGCGAAGCAACGCAGAAAACATGAAACACACATATACATATATATACATATGCACATGCACATACACATACACACATATACATATATGTATACATACATGCATATATACATATATACATACCTATATATATATATATATATATATAAACACACAAATACACATACACATATATGTATATATACAGATACACACATATCAAACAGAACACAAAGAGTGCACGCCTGACCCGACCCGACAGAACAACGGGTCGCGAATATCCCCAGGGCGCCTTCGCACCAGACAAAGACAGTGGGCCAGAGAGCAACGCGGCCGTCCGCTTAGGAGGAAGAGGAGGAGGAGGAGGAGGAGGAGGACGAGGAGGAGGAGGAGGAGGACGACGACGACGAGGAGGACGAGGAGGGTCAATGGAGGAGCAGAGGAGCGGCAGGATGGAGGAGCGGGGCGAGCGAGGGACGGGGGAGCAGTGCGACCAAGGAGGGCAGTTCGGCGGGAGGACAGGAGCGTCGGGGGCGGGGGCGGGGAGGCCGAGGAGGGGGCCGAGGGGGGGGGGGGGGGCGAGGCAGAGCCAGCGGGCTGGGAGGGCGAGGGCAGAGGCAGCGGACCAGGGGGGGCGAAGAGCGGGGGGACGAGGCTGGGGACGAGGACCAGGAGGTGGAGCGAGGACGGCGACGTGGGCGAGGAGGGAGAGGAGCAAGGGGAGAGGGCGCGCAAAACGGCATCGTCAGAGACTGTCCGAGCTCGGTGCGGATTGCTTGGATCTGCGCTGGGCCACCCCTCCCTGGCGCGCGGAGTGCGCCAGGGGCGGCGCAGGAGGCGCCGCCAGGGAGGGATGGCCCATCGCAGATCGAAGAAATCTGCGCGGAGCTCCGAAAGTGTATGGTTATGTCGTTGTGCTTCTTCAAAGGAAGGGCGGATCCTCCCATCTCGTCACAGCTTGCCGAGGTGCTCGTGCTGAGAGAGCTGCATCGGGCTGCCAGTGTGTGGCAGGGGGCGGAAGACCTTCACTGAGAAGACGTTGGTCTCCTCGTTCGAATAGGCCACGTGGATCTTGAGCATGAAGTTGGTGCCTGCCACGACCTGAGAGCTGGCCTCGGCGATCTTCACGAGCGAAGAGACGTCAGGAAACTCCTTTGCGAGGCGGGGGGCTTATCCATATCCACCGCCTGGGAACCGACGTCCCTGGGACCCAGCGGGCGGTGGATCTGGACATATCTTGGCCTCCAAGGGCCAGCATATATCCATGTCCACCACCTGTGGAGGTCCGCGAAAATCTTGCGGATGCCACGACAATGGACACCTTAACAGTCCTATAATTGAATTTCAAAAATGTGTTAAAATGTCGGAAACATGTTCTAAACATGTTTTAAACATGTTTAACACATGTTTGGTTGGGGGGGTGCGGGTTCCATATGTATTTTTGTCAATGTTCCCCGCCCCCCCCCACTGGAAATGGAGGGCAAATTGAGGCCTTCGGGTTGGGTTGGGGTAGTATGGTGGGCGGCGCTGGAGGCGCTGCCATGAGGGTTCAGCGCAGACCCAAGAAATCCGCGCGGACCTCGGAGCAACAAATCGGGAGACACCAAAGACGAAGGCACAATCGAGACACAATCAAACCCGTATAAATCGGAAATCTCTAAGAATCGGCTGGTTTGGAGCATGTATCGGGCGCCGCGGCCGTTTCAGAGCGTTCTGGAACGCTGAGAGTTCTGGAACGCTGTGGAACCGATGTATCTCGATTCTAGGCCCGTCCGAAATCCACAAGGTACCGATACTGCTACTCCCCGGACCTCTCCTGGGGCGCTTTCTGACCAGACTTTCTAAACGAATCTAGCGGTCTCGACAAGGGCATTCCAGGAGGCCCCAAGGGGGATAACGAGGCGAGGGTAACGCTATCGATACCTTTTGCTCCTCTGAGGTTCAGCGAAGGTCCAAGAAATCCGCGCGAACCTCCAGACAGAAATGATTGTGCTTCTGTTGCTTGTCATTCCTCGATCCTTCTTCAGCGCCCCGACCGCGAACTCGGCGGCCGCCTTGATGTCTGGATCTTCCACGTCCTTGCCGGAAAACCCGCCGCACACAGGGCCGGTGCCTACAGCGCCACCACCTGCCGCGCTGCGGCCGCTGGACGAAGAGGCGGCGAAGAGGATCCAGAACCCCTCGGGTCACAAACAAAAATCCCGACGCGACTTTTTGGGAATATGCAACCTCTGGGGACCCCGCCGGGCCTCGGGACCGTCAAAAGAGGGCTCCGAGAAAAAGCCAGCACTGGGGAGTGTGTCGAAATCTCCATGGATCCACGGCGTGAGCAAAAATCATGACGCCGGCAGTCTTGGGGAGGAAAGCAGGACAGCGAAGATGATGACAACGAAGAGACCGAAGAGGTGAGAAGGTGTTGGCGTCATCTCGCGGCTTGCACGCTGGCACATATTCGGGCAGTCTGAAGCGACTCTGGTAGGTCACATTGTATCCAATTCCATGTCGAAGGAATACGATATGGGGTGTGGATGAGTAAGATAGGATAAGATCGACGTAGTGATCTTTCCAACACATAGCGAATACCAAGTCGGGTATCCGGGCAAATAGGGCGCGCGCGCTTTGAGCCATCAGGCAGCGCCGCGCAGGCTATACTCCCGATTATCTATAACATCTCTCAAAGAGCTACCCTTAAGGAGGGGAGGAGACAGAGAGTAAAGCCGCGCGGTCGCTAGGCTCTAGACAGGCGCGCAACTGTTTGCAAGGAAGCTGGTCAACCACCAAACTGAAGGGCGAGATTATTCGCCGGCGAGCTTCCTCGCAAAACTTTTCCACGCATGCACAAGACAGCCCCTTGGATAGACAAGGGCTATCGGCCCGGCTAGAGGTAAGCCAAACAGGCTATTCCCCTCCGGGCAAAAGGTATTAAGGCAAAGAGCCTGAACCAAACTGAACAGGCTCGTTGCCAAGCGCGAAGAGTATGGCTCGTTTCCGAGCAGGAAAGAGGGCACCTCTATAATGGGCGCCCGTGCTGGCAAACTGGACCGCAGGTGCAACAAGGACAGACAAAAAATGATTCGACTTATAGGTTTGGTTTTGTCCTTGGGGCCCCGAAAAGGAACAAACTGCTTCACGTCATACTTAAATGACTGGGAGCCTGACATCACTTCCAAAAGCAGCTCCCGATCGACACTCCCCTTTGTATGCCCGTCTGCGGTCACTTCTCTAGTGTCACACCACTGTACATTATGCACTATACCTATATCCATGAGCTCACGTATCCAGCTGATATGTCCCAGCAAAGTACGTTCCGCCGGTATCTTGAGGTCTTTGCTGGATAACGATTTATATACAGACTCACCGTCTATAGTAAGGGATACTTTGATAGCTAGGCCTCCAACTTCACGCATATCTCGTAGTTGTCGTGGGGTAAGTGCTCCAGCCTTGAGCTCGTGGAGAGTGATGAGCGTGGGATAGCACTCCTCAAGATGTTGTGCAGCTGCAAGTGCCTCAGCGGCATAGCTGGACCTCACCTGCAGTCGGTGTGACTTGCATAGTCCGTCGCAAAGGTGAACGACGGATTTGCCTTGGGGCGAGTTGCCTCGCCGTAATACGTTAGCCCCACGAATACCGTAGCCCCTGGTTTCATCGCCCTCCTCCCCGGTGAGTTTCCGATACCCCGAATCACTACGTATGTATACTTCATTCGTCGGTTTCATCCGAGGGAAGGTGATGCGTTTCGGGTTGCTGATCAGCTTTCGCGCCACAGCATTCAGTCATCTGACTTGTAAGTTGGTGGGCTCTTGGATCTTCTGGAGAGATACCACATGCACCATGAGCCAGACTTGAGTAAGAAGGGCATAGGCGAGAGCTCTTCGCAGGCTAACGAACATGTCGGTGATGAGTTTGGTAGCCTTGGCGTCTGCCGCTGCCCCCGTAAGCTCAGGATGTGTGATAGGACGTAGTTGTTTGATATATTCGTCCTGGTCAATGATCACATCCCCTTGTTATTCTTCGTGTAGCGAACGGCAGAGTTGGTGTAGTAATGTTTGTTGAGCTTACAATTACCAAACACATTTTCGACACGTTGCACATAGTCGTCTACGTTTTTCTCTAGGCCTGTCATATGTCGTCGACATGTTTTGCTGTTAATAGGTCCTGACTGAATTCAAATTCAGGATCGTAGCTTGTCGGTGCAAGGCCTGTAGCTCGAGTAGTCGTGCGAAGCTTGAGGGGGAACGCTCTCGGGGCGTCCTTTGTGCCAGTTCCTGGCTTGAGGCACCTGAGGCAGTGTCGGCTTTCATCATAAGAAGAGAAGCCTGGTAGGGTGCGAAGCACCTGGGCACTTCCTGGTGGAAGGGCGAAGCAAACCATGCGAGTCTCCTCGCCAATGGCATGAGCAAGTTCCTCATATGTCAGTCCTTTGAAGAACGCTTTGTCGATGTCCATAGATGCTAAGATCCATTCTGGATGACACGCGGCTTCACTTGCCAGAAGCCTCTGGGACTGTCGGCGGGCAGTTCCCGAGAAGGTTTCTACATCGAAAGCCTCCGTGTCCACAAATCCGAGGAGGACAAGTCTAAGACGGATGGTTTTAGCATTCTCGGCGCCTACTTTCACGAACTTCCACGTAGATACACATCTGGATGTCATGATGTTGGAAGCTTTTGACAGGTCATACATCTCAAAGCCTCGGTTGTCAAGCCAAATCTTGAGTTCGGTGTACAAGGCTTCACTAACCTCTTTAGGGTGTGCTGCTATGTCGGCTTTGGTGAGTAAGTCGTCTTCCTTGACTACCATAGCACGTTTAGCAGCCGATGATACGTATACTCTCATCGTTGCGACCATGTTTGGTTCGAGCTGTGCGAGTTGGGTCTGATCCAGCACGATCTTTGACATTTCTGGCGTAAAACATAGCTCGACATATGGACCATGTTCATCACTGTCAAGAGAATAGCCCTCGTCAGGTGCAGTCGAGCATAAAGAGACAAGACAGGGCTCTTGTTGTTCAGGCTCGTCCCCGAGCATCTCCGACACAACGGTATCTTCCTCGTCCACTGATGCTGAGACCAAGACACATTGGTCGGGCAGCGTGGTTGTTGGGGCGCAGTAGAGATAGTCGTCGATAACCTTTGTGGGATGAAGGTCCACACGCAACTCATCGTACCACTCCTCCATCATCATAGCCTCGATGTCGTGTTCCACGCTTTCCTCGTAGATTGTAGACAGGCGACCTTCACTCGGTGATGAAGCACCTAGGGTGTCTGGAGGAGGCCTGTCTCAAAGCTGGTCAGGTCCTTCAGACGGTGCGTCCAAGTGTTGATACTTGGCAAGGTCGTCATGGAATCCTGGGGAAGGAACTTGTGACGTCAGGCACTGGATGAGTCTGGAGTGAGTGCTACCAGTGATTTGAAAGATGTTCAGGCCGGTGCCTACACACTCATAGTAGTGGAAGGCTGGGTTAACATCGTTGTCGTAGTGGATCAGTGTAGACCCGGCGGCGTACTTAACTGCAAGTAGATTGAGCACGCTCTTGGCCAATCTCACGGCTACTACACGCTCAACTCGGAAATAATTTCGCACGGGATACTGTAGTGCTTGGTGTACGCGCGGGTGAAACTTGCCGTCGTCGGAAAGATTAAAGTTTCCCTTGTAGTCTGGAATATAGCCAAAGACTTTGGCCGGTTTCCCTACACCAAGGTGTGCCACATATGTAAGGACGGTTTGCATGGCCACGTTGTCAATGCCACGCTCCCTGGTGAGAAGGCATTCAATGTATAGCGTGTGGCGAGCATCAGGATACATTGCAATTACCTCACGCGATCCTGCCTTGACGACTACGTGTCCTCGTTCAGGCACGTTACGGATCACAGGGAACGGGCCATTCCAGCCTCCATGGTCGTCCTTAGTGGCCGTGGGTCGGTGATAATCGACCAAGTCCCCAGCTGAGTACAGGCGAGCACCATCTGGGGCCGTCTTAGCCCTGAGGGCACGGTTCGTCTTCGCTACCGCCGTGGCTTGCGTTATTGCTTCCAGGCTGACTTCCCTCGCGCGACGTTCGCGTTCGTGGCCTGACGTCTCGGGCCCCTTGGGGAAGTCAAGGGTGTCGAGGTCAGGAAGGAAAGAGGGCTGTCGCCCAGTGTGTGCTTGGTACGGCGATACTCCGTTGTAAAACGTGAAAGCGTTCGTGACGAAGATGCCTTCGGCCAGTGCTCTAGCAAATACAATGGGGATGTTGTGTCTGTTCAGTTCTTCCTCAATCATGTGGAGAGTGCCTCTAAGAATGCCATTGCGTGACTCGATCGAGGTCGCGTGCTGGCCAGGCGCTCGGACACGCAGTGTCGTACCCTTATTCGCCATCATGGCCTTGGCAGTTTCGATATTGAGGGCACCTTCTCCATCTGAATACAACGCTTTGAAGGGTCCATGATAAGCGGTCCAGCAGTAGTGGTAGGCGTCGACTATGGTGTCACGTTCTCTATCGGGAATGTCTTGGCCTGCTGCCAGGCGAATACATCGGTCCATAATGTGGAATATGGTCCGTTTCTTGTAAAAAGTGAAATCTACTTCGCCTTCGCCAAGCCAATTTCCAGGGAAGCTTACGGAAGGTAGCGTAGAGTTACCTGGGCGCTCCCATGCTCTACATTCCCGACAGGTGTAGCAGATTTCTTTGATCATATTTCGTCGGACATTATCCAAACCCACCTTCTCTAGGATCAGCCCCATTTTGGGTTCCTTCGCATGATGCCACCGTAACTGCAGTTTGCGGAGTTCCTTTCTGACTACATGAGGTTCATGACTACGGAGGTTTTGCAGACTGTGTTGGATGTCAAATATCGTCCAGTCAGGCAGTCGTGAAGCCCCCAAGCCGGTCGAGGCAAGAGCGTTCCTCATGGCTCTCCGCAGTCGGTCTCATTCGTCAACTGCATCTGGTGGTGGAGGTGCGCCTTGTAAGCGACCACGGCGGGCCGCTACCTGCGGTGATTCGCCCGAAGACGCGGGGGGCGCGTTTCCGTTCGAAGACGCGGAAGGCGCGTTTCCACGCTCGGGCGCGTCTCGCAGTACGTCATAACTGCTAGCGCCAGATGTAGGATCAGTGTTCCCAAGGGCGCGTGGTCGTGGTGGCCTGGCGCGAGCAC